CTTAGCCTTTTCTTTCAATTAACCAAGTTACCAGCCACGATCCTTTTTGTTGATACCCTCATTTGAACATTTAATTGAAGCAATTATATGAATTCTTTGTATTCGTGATGAGCTTATGTGCGTAGACTTGACTGTGGTTTGTTTGAAGCTTAGTTATCTAATATGTACTAGTTCTTGTTTTCTCTCCGAAAAAAAAAAAGAAAAAAAGAAGAAAAAAAAAACAGAAAAGAAGGCAAAAAAGAAAAGAAAAAAATCGAAAATTCCGGGATGAGCCTGCCTTACCTTGGAACTGAGCCTGCAGAACAAGAAGAGGACTGCCAAAGCTGCTGGACCAGTGAATATTGCTTATTCTGGTCTTTCTCAATGGTGGTATACAATCGGTTTACGTACTAACGAACATATAAAAAGATACAAATCATACTTGATAGCTTAGCTTTCGTTATTTTATCCAACAAGCAACGGGGAAAAAAACATGAAAAAAAAATGGGGAGAATGACAATGAAGAGAATTGCGCTATTTTATTCTTGCGTTAGATACATTTTGTGAAGTTATACAGTCAAAATGGCTTCTTTTGGGATTGAGCTCCGTTTGTGAAGAGTTTGAATGATTGCTTTGATTCTCATAGCCTAATATGTCTTTTTTTTCCTACCGTACCTAAGCCCCATTATAACCCATTTAAACCCTTCGATTTTGTGTGTTCATATTGATTCTTGGGTGGACGAGCGTGATATATTTGCAAGCTTATGGTAAAATCCTTCATTGTCTTGACTTGAGCGTACACTTTATATATTTAACCTATACACATTCGAGTGTTGAGTGTATCTTGTGAGAAGTTGTCGAATCTCATGTGTTTTAAGTTATTTGATTGTTGAGGTGATTATTCATTGATGTTGGTTAATGAGGATTCTTTCTTAAGTTATGTTTTTGATGTGTGCAAAATATTTTTGGGTTGGTAACGAATGATAGAGATGATTATGAGATGAGACGATGAATTTGACTTGATGCTTGAGGACAAGCATTGTTTAAGTGTGGGGTGATTTGATAAGTCGTATTCTTGGCATGTTAATTGTCATGTTTTCTATACTTTTTCGGTGATTATTTGAGCTTAATTATTGATTTTAATTGATTTCTATTTCTTCTTCTCCGTTCGCGACCGCCGTCGGATACCAGCCACAGGCGAGTAGCTTCTATCTTCCTCGGAGCACACGTCGCGAGGAATCCCAGACGACAACCGCGCGCGACCCTTTTCCTCAGAAGACCACCGGCGAGCCGCTGG